CCCCGCCGAGGGCGCTCCCAACTGCCCCCCAAGTCCTTCTCGGGAGACATGGTTCTGTGCTTGTGCAAGGAAAGGCCAAACCCAAACACACACACACACACACACACAGAGCCACCCCCACCCAGCCCTCCAATTTTGGAAAAGAAGCCTATCTAGGAAAGGATCTTGCCTGGGATCCCAGAGAGCCTTTGCATCATGGTCTCCTGATGCTGCTGCTGCTGCTGCTGCCAGTCAGAGCCGGCAAGACAGGGCCTGATGGGCCAAGGAAGGGCCTGACACGGGAGAAGGGACGAGGGAGGGGAGGAGCCGAAGAGGGGGGGGCAGCTGGGAAGAGCTTTCCTTTGGCAGGACTGGCCATGGGCTGCAGGCCAAGGAGCCACTTTTCCCAGGTGGCCAGAGGAGGGCCAGGAGGGCCAACGTGGGGCAGGATCAGAGCCGAGGCGGCCTTTCATGCCGTGCTTTGCTGTGCCTTCTTTCTGCTCCTTTAGTGGCCGGCCAAAAGCCCAAAGAGGGAGCCACCCAGAGCAGCCCCCAGGGCAGCAGCACTTGCCTGCTCAGGGTCCCCGCCCCTCCCAATGGCTGAGACACCACAGTCTGCAAGCTTTGCCCCCCCCCGACTCCCTCCGCCAGCTGTTTGGTGCAGGGGCTTCTGTCTGATCCTTCCTCCCCACCCGCAGGATTCACAGCATTCCCCACGGCCTCTCTTCTGGGAGATGCAGAGAAAGAGAGGTGGAGCCGCCCCCACCCATCGAAAAGGGAGCTTGGGGGGGGAGTGAAGGAAAATAAAGAGCTTCTCCAGCTCAGCAGTCTTGCCAATTCCGTCCCTGCTTAGGGAGGGGGGCATGACAGCTGTGGAAGTGGTCATTTTTCTTCCTGTACAGAAATTTCATATTCAGGGCAACTATAACTTCTAAAATATTTCTGTGTTTTTCCAGCTAATATCATCATCTCCAATACGTATCCCTAGCAGCAGACTCCATCAAATCAGAAGGGTGAGTAACTTTTCACTCATTTGAATGCCAGTATTTCTTCCAAAGAACATGGTTTTCCCCCCCTGCCTCACCCCCCGCCACGGCCCCAGCCTTTACCGTGATGCAGTTGTCGTAGGCGTCCCGCACGACCTCGTATTCGATCTCCTTCCAGCCCTTGAGCGACTTGTCCACCAGCACTTGCGAGGTGTGCGCCAAGGCCTGCCCCACCAGGGCCGTCAGCTCCTCCCGCCCGTTGGCGAAGCCGGAGCCCAGCCCGCCCAGCGCGTAGGCAGAGCGCACCAGCACGGGGTAGCCAAGCCGATCGGCCGCTGCCTGGGCCTTTGGGAGGGGGAGGAGAAGAAAAAGCCAACCACTCAGAGATGCGGTCAGGCCCTGTGAAAGGGGGGGGGTGGCTCGCCCTCTCTGGGCCAGCAGGCCCAAACAGCCCCCGTCCTGCTGCTCTGTGGCAGAAAACCGGGGCTGCTAAAGAGGGGGGCACACACACCTCTCCCTCCCTCCCCCCAGCTGCAGGCAGCCCTTAGACTCTGAGGTGGGCCCAGATGGCGCGTCCGGGCGACCCTCCCCACGCTCTGTGCCTTCTCTGCTTGTGCTCAGCAGGAGGGCTCCTCCCTGACCCTCCGCCCAAAGCAGCTCAGGCTCTTGCAGCCTTCACTCAGCCCCCATCAGGATGCAGCCCTCCCACCGGATCTCCTACCAGGCCCGGCCCGGCCACTCCAGGACGCCGCATTTTCTAAAGGGACTCAACCCAAAATCCCAGGGAAGTAGTGGCCGCAGTGACATGGTGGAGTGGGGCCGCTCTGCCCCCATACCTGTTCGACGGAGCACGCGGCCTCGCTGGGCGCCACATGCTCCCCAATCTCCTCCATCTTCTCCACAAAGACTTTGCGGTCCTCCGTCATCTCAATGGAAGCCACGGGGGTGCCCAGGACTCGCACACTGTACCGCTCCAGCACGCCACCTTTGGTCAGCTCCACGCCACAGTTCAGGGCGGTCTGGCCCCCAAACGTCAGTAAGACCCCGTCGGGGCGCTCGTTCTTGATCACCTGAGCCCGAGGGGAAAGAGGGAGAGGGGTGAGGGGAGCGCCCCTCCCGGGCCCATTCCAAAGGGGAAGCCAAAGAGGTCCCGATGCCCTCTGGTGGCACGCAAGACCACGGAACGGACCCCCGTGATGGTCCAGCAAACCTTCTGCTTGGTTAGGTACCAGCAAAACCTTCTGCTTCTTCATGGACAGGATGGGCAAACAGCAATCAAAACAGAAGGGGCAAGGAGAGGCACGGGGAGGGTCCTGGTTGGGGCGCAACACCCCATCATGTTTGATCAGCTGGAATGACACTCAGGCGCTGGACAGGGTGTGTGAGAGAGGGGGGTGAAGAAAAAGCAACACGAGCAAAACAAGAGGCCTCCAGACCTAACTTCCAGCCCATCCCCACAACACAGAAACAAAAAGATTTGTTCACAGAATCATGACGTTGGAGCCACAACACAGAAACAAAAAGATTTGTTCATGGAATCATGACGTTGGAGGCCACAGAGTCCACCCTCTGCTCAAGGCAGGAATCCCAATCAAAGGGCATCTGCCAGGTGGTTATCTTCAACTTTCTCTTGAAGGCCCCCGGTCTTGGAGCGCTCAGCACCTTGTGCAATCGATTCCACTGTCATACTGCTCTAACAGTTTGGACGTTTTTTTCTGATATTCAGCCTAAATCTGGGTTCCTGTCGCTTGAGCCCATTCTCACATGTCCTGAACTCTGGGTTGATCGAGATCTTGTCCCTCCTCCCTACGATAGCCTTTCAAATATTTGAAACATGCTATTGTATCCCCTCTCCGTCTTCTTTTCTCAAGGCTGAGCTCCTTCAACGCCCAGTTCTTTCATGCTTTCCTCTGCTCCAGAATTTTCCAAGGGAAAAAATCAGTCAACCAAGACAAGGAATTCCTTAGAAGGGACGTATGTGGCAGAATTTGCCTCCTAACAGATATCAGGATAACCGAAATCCCCCACCATGCTTCCAAAGAGGCCCCGGGGTGCAGGAGCCGACCGCCCCTCCCTCCGCCTATCCCGGTGTGACCCAGCGACCCGAGAGCCAAGAGGCAGCCAGGAGGGAGGCTCACCTGGGTTACGTAGTCTGGGGTGATGGGCAAGAAGTAGACCTTGTCGGCCAGGCCCTTGGAGGTCTGCACGGTGGCGATGTTGGGGTTGATCAGCACCGTCTGGATGTTCTCATCTTTCAGAGCTTTGATGGCCTGCGGGTGGAGTGGGAGGTGTGGGGAAGAGGCCGAAAGAATATTCCCTGAGAGACAGACGCAGCCCCAGGCGGAGACACAAAGCCCCTCCTAAAGGCCCAGCCCCAGCCCCGGAGACGAAACCGCCAGGAGCGGAAGCGGGATCCACGCCGAGGAGGAGCGCTGGGTAGAGCCGGGTTCCACCCTGGCCGTTCCTCAGCTCCTCACCAGCTCTCCCTTCTGCAGCACGCCCTGGAGAAAACAGAGTCTCCTTCCCCCCCCAAGGGGGAAACCCCTCCTCCTCTCTACACAACCACAGCCTGTGACTGACACGACGTGGAGGTGAGATGGCCTGGGGGCCCCCACCTCCAGTCCAAAGGGTGCCCCTCAGCACTTTGCCGGCTCCTTGACCCCCCTCCCTCCCCCTGAAGGGCCCCAGATCTCTCCTCCCTTGACACCCCCTCCCTCCATCGGCACCCCTCCCTCACCTGGGAGCCGGAGTAGTCAAACTCTCCCGCCTGTCCGATGGAGAGGCCCCCCGAACCCAGGATGAGCACTTTACGAGGGCGGCCTGCGGGGCTGGCGGGCGGACTCTGGGACGGGCGCAGGTATCGCTGGAGCCGCTCGCAGACTGGTGTGGGGAGAAAGTGGAGGGGCGTCCTCAGTCAAGTCACTCGGCCCATCCATGTCCCCCCCCCGGGCATGAGACTGGCAAACCCCCTACAATGTGAGTGTTTGTCTGTGTGCGTGGGGGGGGGGGAACAATGGCTCTCCCTATGCAGCAGAGGCCAGGAGGCAGGGCCAGGGAGGCCGCCCCCTCCCCCCCCGCGAGACCCCCACCTGTCTTGGTGTTTGCTCCTCCAGCCATGCTGTCTTTCACCGTCTCCAGAAAAACATCAAAGAGGCCCTCGAGGTCCGTCGGCCCAGCGCTGTGCTCCGGGTGGAACTGCACGCTGGGGGGGAGGGGAGAAAAGAGGGGTGAAAAGGGGAGGAACAATGGGACCCACACCTCCCCCACCTCCTAAAGCAGCTCCCCCTAGCCAGTTCCAGGTCGAGGGTCTGGAAACCAGCCCTGCGAGGGAGGGAGGAAGGAAGAAAAAGATAGGGAAGGGAGAGAGAGAGAGAAAGGAAGGAAGAATTGGGAAGAGCTGGGAGCATTTAGCCTGGAAAAGAGAAGGCTGAAGGGGGAGCCGGCTCCCCAGATATGAAGGGAGAATGGGGGTGGGGGGGGCAAGGACCTCCTGCAGGGATTCTGGCCCGGAGCCACAGAACCAAGTGCCAAGAACAGCCGCCTTGACTGAACATGGTTGGGGGGGGGAAGAGCAGCCTTCCACAAGGTAAAAGCAGCTCAAGATAGATGTCAACCCCTTGGGGTGGGGGAGGCAGGAAATACCCCCACCCCAGGCCCACCCCCAGGGCTGCTCCCACCTGAAGAAGGGCTTCGAGGTGTGGACAAGCCCCTCGTTGGAGAGGTCGTTGGCGTTAGTGAAGAGGGGGGCCCAGCCGGCCGGCAGGCTGCCCGGCTCCACCGCAAAGCCGTGGTTCTGGGAGGTGATGAAGCAGCGCTGGGAGCCCTCGTGGAGGCAAGGCTGGTTGTGGCCCCGATTCCCGTACCTGCAGGGAAGAAGCAGAAGTGAAGGCTCGCCCGGGGAGTCCCGAACCTGGCTCAGAGGAAAAAAGACAAACCCAAGACCAGGCTTGCTTGGTCTGCCTCTGATGGGGGCCACTGGGCTTCCTCGGAAAGGGACGACCAGCGGGGCGGGGGGGCAGCCATGGCCCTCTCGCCCCCTCCAGCACCCGAAGCAGCTGGGGAGATGCGCCCCCGTCCCCGTCGGCGGCCAGAGAGATGGCTGCAAGCAACCACCACGGCTGCAGCAGGAGCAAGGCGCTTTGGTTCAGCACCTGCCGAGGACTCTTGAGATTCAGACATGTTCAGCAGTTAGATTGGCTCTGACTTCACCAAGGGTCGACAATGTGTCATTTCCATGAAGCCAAATTGCCCTCTGAAGGCGCTTTGGCTCAGCACCTGCCGAGGAGCCCCCGCCCCGCCCCCACCCCGCGAGGAGGCACTCACTTCATCTTGTAGGTCTTGGCCCCGATGGCCAGCGCCAGCAGCTGGTGGCCCAAGCAGATGCCAAAGACAGGCTTCGGGGAGGGCAGCTCCAGGACCGCCCGCAGCTGAGCGATGGTCGTTTGGCAGAGCTGGGGGTCCCCCGGGCCGTTGCTGACAAAAAGCCCGTCAAACTCTGGGGACAGGAGAAAGAGAGCGGCGTCAG